AATATATGAATAAAGCTTCTTTTGTATTTTGATTTAGCTTTATTATTATAACTCCAGATTTCTGATTATTCTGACTTATGTAACTTTTTATTAGTATATCAGATGGTAGCTGAGCCTTTTTAATAAGCTTCTACTATCTGAATTTTTCTGTTATTACTAATATTATTAGTGATATAAGCATTTTCAAAGTCTAGAAGCCAACTAATTAGATTTTAAATATTACTATATAATTTTACAATTTTAGTATAATTAGCTTCCTTTGATTTTTCTAGAGCTATAACAAGTACTTCCAGTTTGTATATCAAATCTTCAAATTTATTATCAATAATTGATAAAGATGATGTTTTATTCTTCTTATCTTCACTCATTTCTTCTTCTTCAAGTGATATTGAAAAAATAAAGATTGAAGTAACAGGTATATCTTAAGTAATTAGTTATATTTCTAAATATTTATTGAGTAGTAACTGTACTAATATTTGTTCAAGAATATCTGAATTATTTTTTCTAAACTATTGTAAGATATCTAGTAATTTTTTATTTGATTTTGATTGACTCAGATTAGATACTTTTACAAATATATCTTGTTGCTTTCTTTATCTTTATTCTATTAGGTATTTATTTCTCTTGTCTTTGAATTCAAATATCTCTTATTGCAATTTATAGAGTTATATTTATATTTGTTCTGTTAATAGATCAGTTTCTTCTTCTATTAAGATTGCAAAATCTTTTCTTATCTTAATTTGGATTTCATCATGTATTACTTCTTGATAAAAATAGTAAAATTTTTCTTAGATGACTTGGTGATCAGATTTAGTATAATCTTTAAAATGTAATTCAGTGAATAATTAAGTGAAGAATCTTTCTCTTTCTACTTTAATTTCTTTGATTGAATTCATTTTGATATATTATAAAATTATTTCTTCAGTTACTTTTGATTCTCTACTAATTTCAATTTAATTTATAGAGAATTCTTTATCTAGATCTGAATTAAATTTAATAATCCTATAAAATTATTTTTTTACAGAGAGAATATCAAAAAGTTATTATCTTTTTGGTGTGAATTTGATATGAGAGTGAGTATTAATTTTAATATTATAAAAGCATGTAATAAAAGTGATTATATACTTATAGTGATATTAGAAGAGTCTTTAAAGAATTTATTAATAAGAATATAAATATTATTATTTATCTAAAGATAGGTAATAATAGTATTCTTGTTATAATTAGCTAGAATGTAATCCAATTCCAAAATATAATTTCAAGACAGATGTAATATTTAGTTTATTAACAAAATAAAATAATAGATCTTAATCAAGATCTATTCTACAAGAGAGATTTCTTAGAATTCTCTTAAAATTAAAATCTACTTAAATACAAATTAAGAACTAAACTCATAGAACTTAAACTAAATTAAATAACTAACTAATTAACTTATTAATTAAACTATTTATTTAACTATTTAACTATTTAAATTCATTAACTAAGATATATCAATTTTATATATTTTAGAGATTATACAAATAATACTTTTATTATGATACTTATATTAGTTTTGCTATAATCTAAATATCATTTTAGTTAGTATTATAATATTGATTTTGTTATAATAGCATTATTAGTTTGCTTTGCTATAATAGTTTTGCTAACTTTGTTATGATAATTTTACTATGATTATCATATTTGTAAAATCTTCTAAAAATATCTACAAATAATATTCTCTAAAGCTAATATCCAATAAGATATAAGTAATTATTTATCTAATCATATTGTGATATAAAATAACTAATAATAAAATTAACTAATATTCTACTAAAAGTTCATATTATAATAATATGAAAAATTTATATTAGTTATTAAATAAAAAAAATACAGTATAGTAGATAGTAAATACAATAAGTTAAATATATTAATTATAATTAATATATTATAAATTCTAAATTATACTTATAGATAAAATGCAAAAAATTAATTCTAATAATAAGTAAAATAATTTATTATAAAATTATAAAATTTGACAAGATATTATAAGAATTATCTTTAAATATTATTAAAGTAAAAATAATTTTATTAAAGAATTTAAAAAGTCTATTATATTCAAACTTTATTAAAGAATTATTATATATAATTACTATATTAGATATATTTCTTAATATATTATTATAAGAATTTGAAAGTATAAACTTTTATATAAAAGTTTATGATATGATTTATTTGAAAAGTGATAAAATTCTAAAAATATCTAGAAGTTTTTATAATAAAGAATAGTTTAGTAATATTATAGTAACTTTAACTAAAGATTAAAATAATATAGAAAGATAAATATAACTAGAAGAATAATAAAATATAATTTTAAATTTAACAATTTTGAATAAATTAATCTTTACATTTTCTTCTAAAAGATACTATTTTTTTATAATTTTTTGAGAATAATAAAGAATTTATATAATCTTATTATAATTTATTAATAAAATATTATGTCAAATAAGTCAGAAAAGTATAATTACTCTTATTTATATTATATTAAAGAGCATAATATAATTTTAATAGAATCTATAGATCAAGAGATATATATTATACTGAAATTTGACAAAAAAAATTATTTTTTATTAAATAAATATATATTTTAAAAAAACTAATAGATAAAGAATTTTAAAGTCAAATTTGTATTTATTATAAAGTTTAAAGAAAAAAAATAAATAATAATATATATAATCAATATATTTATCATTTATCTATTTAATTTATATTTAAAAAACTATAATAATCTGTAATTATACTAATTATTATAATTTCTTTAGATTATATCTTTATTTTTAAAGTTTTATATAGATTATAACTAAAGATGATGCAGCAAGTATGTGACGCTTATTTGTTATCTGTTGTAACATGTTGCAACTTCAAAATTTTATAAGTTATAACTAGTTGCAACTAGGTGATACTTTATTTGTTATCACATTATAATAGTTAAGGAGTCATCTTTAATTATAACTAAAAAATTAGTAATAATCAGTATATTTACTAATTATTATTAATCTGATATTTATCAATATATAACTTATTTTTTTTATTAATTATTAATTATTTTATAATTAATATTCTTTTTAATAATTATAATTTTATTTAAAATATTCTTATTCTTTATCAATAATTAAAAAATAATAAATTTAATAGATTTTTATAGATTAATAAAGATTATTTAATAATAATTAAAAGATTACTTATAATTTCAATACTAAAAAATAACTTAACTTTAGTTCAATATTAAAAATATTTTAAAAATTAATACTAATTATAGAAATAATTTCTGAATAATTAAATAAATTATAAGATAATAAATGAATAAAATAAATTATAGATATTATTAATATTAAAGTCTCAAGAATAATAATCTTAATTAATATTAATTATTAATTTTAATTTGAATAAAGCTAAAAGATAAGAGTTTAAATTATTTTTTAATAATCTATTTAAAAATAAAGATAACTAATTTGATAAAGTATAATTTATAAAATACTATTATTTTAGATAATTACTCAAAAAAATTTCAAGATAATACTCTCAAAAAATTCAAGTTTTATAAAGAAAATTAATTTAATTAAGAGAAGTTATTTTAATTAGAAAATATTTTTTACTTGAAAAATAAATTTATTAATTATTAAATAAATATAAACTCAAAAAAGTCTATAACTTTTAATGACTCACTTATTATAATTTATATTATATTAAAAATGAAAAAATTAAAAAAATTATTAAAAGAATTTAATTAGTTTTACTAGAACTTAATTTTATTTAGAAAAATCAAATATTACTATAGTAATATAAATTTCTTTAATTTCAAAATTTTTTGAACTTTGAATTTTTAGCTAATTAATTATTTTTTGAAAATTAATTAATATTTACTTTTATTTATCTTTTCTATTATAATAGATTATATTTGATTAATTATTTCTTGTTTAAAAAATTAAAAAATATAAGTAATAGATATTTTTTATTTAAAATAAGTCAAGTATATTTTATTTTGATTTATAAGATTTTTGCAAGCTTTTTTATATATAAAAGCTTTATCTTATTTTAATATATATTAGAGATGATATTATAATTAGTAATTAAATTATAATTTTCTAATTAATTATTACAAGTCATAATATTATCTTTAATATATATTTTTTATTTATCTAATAATTAAAAAAATATTATTAAAGTGTTTAGTTAGCATACTAAATCTATAATTTATAATTTTATTATTTTAGTTATAGATATCTTTCTCTTTATTTTATTTTTATAATCATAATTTTTCTTTATTTATTTTTATTTTTATCTTGTATTAATATAATATTTGTAAATATTAATATTAGAAAATCTTTAGAATAATTATAATTCTCTTTATCTTTATAAATAATTCAGTCTTAGTTCTCAAAACTCATTATAAGCTATATTTCTAATAAAATCTATCTTTATAAATATAATTTGTAATATTAATAATATAAAACTTTTTGAAATTTCTTATTCTTTATTATATTCTTAAGAAAAATATAAATGATCAGTATTTATATTACTCTTAATAATTTGATATAGTTTATATAATATTACAATGATATAACTTTTTTTAAGAAAGATAAGTTACTTATGATTAGCACTATAAATAAAATGCATTAATACATTAATGATTTTTTATGTGATTATTACTTACAAATTCAAATCAACTAAATTTAAATTATATTTGAATTGATTTAATCCAGATTGCACTATTTGGCTTTTTCTTTTTAAGGAATTTATTATATAAATCTTATGATAAATGTTATTAATCATTTTTATAGTTTTTGTTATATTATACAAAGCTTATTTATATCTTATGGATTTATATTGAATAGATTTCTGTTGTTTTTTCATTCATTTCATTTAATTTGTTTTATCATCTTTTCGAGATTATTATTTTCCTCAAATTAATTAAGATATAAAATCGAAATAGAAGTCATTCAAAAAAAATCATTAAAAATGATTTATTGTTGATTAATGTTTAGGTTTCTATTTTCACCTGCATTTTGATTAATGATTGGTACCATTTCAGTTTCTTGTCGAGTTTTATTCTTTGAACCCTTTGCGCGACGATCGTGTTCATTTCGTGTAAGTTGTCGGATTTTACATGACTCATTGTCAAATTCAAATGGTATAGCAGCAAGTGTTCCGTCGTATCTAATATTGATTATTTATTTAGCAGATAACTAATCAAGGTTATTTTATCAAACAAAAAATCGAAAAGCTAAATTATACCTGTTTTTCTTGATATCCAAATATCTTATTTCCTCATCATCAACTATTAATCGTTGAATAATTATAACATTATCTGCTTCTTGTGTAATTTTTGCGGATCCAAAAACTGAATTCAAGTCAAGAAATTCTCTATCGTCCTTTTTTGGATGTACCACTAAAGTTATGTGGACGCCTCGTTCAGTAGCAAATCTACGAAATGTTCCAACGGTACGATCTTGTATTTCCCATCGATCATGAAATCTACCTTGATCTGCAGTCATAAACTGTAAATTGTCTATGATAACATGTTGAACATCAAAAGCATAAATTGCATGATTCATTGCATCCACCACAGTTGTTAAATCGGTGCTTCCGAAAAATTTTAGGAAATACATTGGAAGCTAGTATTCAGGAAAAATAAATTCTTAATGAAAATCATATTAATATATAATATTGAATGTGAAGGAGCATATAATAGACCACCTGTTGAAATTTTTCTGTTGTTTGAAAAAATTCTTCTGGTGTTAACTCGTGACCGGCAAATTGTTGAAGCATTTTTTTCGCAAGTCTCACATTGGGTATTTCAAAACTACCCCATAATGTACTGACTCCTGATCGACAAAAATCCAAGGAAATTTGACTTAATATTGTAGTTTTGCCTATTCCGGTTGGACCAGTGAAGATGGTCAATTCGCCCGGTCTATGCCCTTTTAATATTTGATTTAGTCCGGGTAAATCAGTGGATTGTACTCCACGAACTTGATTTGGGTTAACGAGTTCTCGATATACTGCATCTTTCAGATGATCGAAACCGATTATTTTTTCATGTTCTAATGGTTTCGCTTTTCTTAAGATTTCTTTTAAATCTTTTCCAGAAGCTAATGCTTCGCTTGCATTAACAGGACCATTAAGATTACCACCAAGAGTTTTCACAATTGAACATCGATTTATTCCAAGCTTCTGGGCAAACTTTTCAGCTGCTTCTTGACCAGCTACATCGTCGTCTAACCAAATATAGATTTTTGCAAATCTTTCTAACAGAGGAAGAATTTCCAAGGGTAGTTGATAAGTGTTATTTGGAAGACAAGTAGCGGGTAACTTGGTTTCTTGATAAGCAGCCATCGCGTCAAATTCATTCCCAGTTAAAATAATGGTTTCTGTTTCAGATTGCACTAAATGATAGCCAAAGAGTCCTGCTTCTGATGTTGGTGGATCGAAAGCAACTAAGTCACCACTTCCTATTTCGCATGCTTTTATTCTCACAGTTTTTGTAATTGGTTCATCTGTTGCCTGTGGATCCAAAAATAAAGGTGCCATCCTTGGAAACGTTATACAAACTTGACCTTTATCTGTTGACAATTCAGCGTTATTTGATGGATTTGTATTATAATATTTAGCAGCACCAATTTTATAATCTTGTAAAGTATCAAGGGTTAAACCTTTCTCTGTTTTACACCAAGTCACAATAATAGGAAATTCTGATAATTGGTTGGGATACTTTTCAATTGTATCTCTTGGTACAGAGAATTCTGTTTTGCTCCCTCTACTGAGATCCACCGTACTCAATACTTGAAACGAGTCGGATTTCGATACTAATTTTATATAATCAAACCAATTTTCTTTTCTTAAACATGACTCGCATTGAAATAATCCTTTTTGAACATTTATAACAGCAGTGTAAAGTGTTCCTCTCTTATGCGGACGACAACAAGGACAACGAATTCTGAATAAGGATTTATCTTGCGTTTTCCTAGGAAATTGATAATGTTTATTAAGGAATTCTAAAACTTCTCCTGGCCTTGGCATGTAATGCTTTGAGGAAAAGCCACTAGCAAAAAAATCTATGCTTCTTGTATCGGCTTGATAAGGCCATAGTTGAGTTATACCACTGCCTTCTATTGAGTAAAAACGCGAGAATATTCGAGAGGTACCACCACGTATACTATTTCTGTGACCAAGGACGCTCAGAAGACGCGTATTTCCAAGTAGTGCCCTATTTGCTAGTATAAGCAAGTGACGCGACATGCCTGGCAAGTAAAAGAATGCGCGCGCAGAAATGGTAGCAGTAATGAATGAAATAACGGAGTAAAACTTGCAAATGAAATTATGAAATCACGCGTCTCTAATACTGTGATATATTAAAAGTAATGATGCACGAGATTTGCGAGATTTGATTTTCCTGAATTTATTTTAGAGATTAAATTCACCAACAGTAAATTCTATTTCTCACAAAAAATAATGTCCTCGAAAGGACAAGAACGGGCCAAGCAAAATGACACGCCGGTAATGCAGCAAACCCATGTCAATGGCAATAATCATCGAGACCAAAATAATAACGAAGATGATTATGAAACGCGAATTCGAAAGACGGGTTGCTTTCGAGAAAATGAAAATTTGCAACTATGTTATGCTGATAAGCATGATTGGAGAGAGTGTCAACTGGAATTACTGAAATTCAAAG